TAGCATGTACCATACTGCAATGGACCATACAGCATGATCATACAGCATGACCATTACTTGCATGACCATACTTGCATGACCATACAGCATGACATACAGCATGACATACAGCTTGACATACAGCATGACATACTTGCAAGACCATTACTGCATGACCATTTCAGCATGTACCATACAGCATGCCCATACAGCATACCATACAGCATGACCATACTGCATGACCATACTGCATGACCATACAGCATGACCACACAGCTGCCCATCCAGTATGACCACACAGCATGACCACACAGCATGACCACACAGCATGACCACACAGCATGACCACACAGCATGACCATACTGCATGACCATACTGCATGACCATACAGCATGACCATACAGCATGACCATACTGGCATGACCATACAGCATGACATACTGCCAAGACCATACCGCATGACCAGTTACAGCCATGACCATACTGCATGACCATACAGCTGACATACAGCATGATCATACAGCATGACCATACAGATGATCATACAGGCATGACCATTGAGCTTGATCATACAGCATGACCATACAGCATGATCATACAGCTGACCATACAGCATGATCACTACAGCATGACCATAAGCATGATCATTACAGGATGACCATACAGCATGATCATATCAGCATGACCAACTGCATGACCACACGGCATGACCATACAGGGGGAATGACCATACAGCATGACCAAACAAGCATGACCATACAGCATGGACCATACTGCATGACCTTTACGCATGACCATACAGCATGACCATACAGCAGGACCTACAGCATGACATACTTGCATGACCATCGCATGACCATACAGCATGCCCATACAGCATGACCATACTGCAATGATCTTAACAGCATGACCATACTGCATGACCATACAGCCACTGACCATACTGCATGACCATTCAGCATGACCATACAGCATGACCATACAGCATGATCATACAGGAATGAAATACAGCCATGACATACTGCCATGACCATACAGCAGGACCATACAGTGACCATACAGCATGTTCATACAGATGACATCAACAGCATGACATACAGATGACCATCAGCATGACCCATACTGCATGCACAATACAGCTTAAACCTACAGCATGGGACCATACAGCATGACCATACAGCATGACCTACTGCCATGACCATACAGCATGACCATACAGCATGACCATACAGCAGACCGTACTGCATGACCCATACAGCATGGACCATACAGCATGACCATACAGCATGATCTATACAGGATGACCATACGCATGACCATTTTTTTTAACAGCATGACCATACAGCATGACCATACTGCATGTCCATACAGCATAACCATACAGCATGGACCATACAGCATGACCATACGCATGACCAATACTGCATGACCATACAGCATGACCATACAGCAGGACCATACAGCATGACCGTACTGCTGACCATACAGCTTGGAACCTACAGCAAGACAATACATTAGCATGACCATACAGCATGACCATACACCATGACACATTACTGCATGACCATACAGCATGACATACCGCATGACCATACTTGACAATGACCATACTGCATGCACCATACTGCATACATGACTATACAGGCATTACCAAACAGCGCATGACATCTGCATGGACCATACAGCATGACCATAATGACATACATCGACCATACAGCATGACCATACTGCATACATGACCATTCAGCATTGACCATACAGCATGCCATACAGCATTACCATATGCAATGCCATACAGCAGGACCATACTGCATACATGACTATACAGCATGACCATACTGCATACATGACCATACAGCATTACCATACAGCATGACCATACAACATTACCATACTGCATACATGACTATACAGCATGACCATACTGCATACATGACTATACAGCATTACCATACAGCATGACCATACTGCATACATGACTATACAGCATTACCATACAGCATGACCATACTCCATACATGAATTTACAGTTATTACCATACAGCATGACCCCATACACATGACCATACAGCATGACCATACAGCATGACCATACTGCATGACCATACAGCATGACCATACAGCATGACCATACTGCATGACCATACTGCCATGACCTTATCTGCATGTGACCTACGCATGATCATCTGCATGACCATACAGCATGTCCATACTGCATGACCATACAGCTGACTACTGATGACTACTGGCATGACCTAATGGCATGACTACAGCATGCCATACAGCATGACCATACAGCATTGGACCCATACAGCATGGACCATACAGCATGACCATACAGCATGACCATACTGCATGACCATACTGCATGATCATACAGATGGACCATATACAGATGACCATACAGCAGGATCTTACCAAGCAGACCCATAAGAATGATCTTTCAGCATGACCATATGCATGATCATACCAGCATGACCTTTCAGCACTGACCTACAGCATGATCATACAGCATGACATACAGCATGATCATACGATGACCATACAGCATGACATACAGCATGACCATACGCATGACCATACAGCCATGACCATACTTGCATGACCATACAGCATGACCATTACTGCATGACATACAGCATGACCATACAGCATGACCCTACAGCATGACATACTGCATGACCATACTGCATGACGCCATCACTGCATGACAATTACTGCATGACCATACTGCATGACCATACTGCATGACCATACAGCATGACCATACAGCATGACCATACTGCATGACCATACAGCATGACCATACAGCATGACCATACAGCATGACCATACAGCATGACCTACAGCATGATCGTACTGCCATGGACCGTACGTCATGACATACAGCACGACCATACAGCACGACCATACAGCTATGACATACAGCATGACTACAGCATGACCATACAGCATGACCATTTACCGCATGACCATACTGCATGGACCATACAGCAGACCATACTGCTGACCATACTGCATAATGGGACTATACAGCATTACCATACAGCATGACCAGTACTGCATGGACCATACAGCATTGACAATACTGCATACAATGACTATACAGCATTACTATACAGCATGACCATCAGCATGACCATACTGCATAATGACCATATGCAGCATTACAATACGCATGACCATCATACTGATGACCATACAGCATGACCCATACTGCATTACATGACCATAATGCATACATGACTATCAGCATTACCATACCAGATGAACATTACTGCATACATGACTCTATACCAGCATTACCATACACATGACCATACTGCATACATGACCATACAGCATTACCATATGCATAACATTGGACCATACAGCATTACCATACAGCATGACATACAGCATTACCATAACTGCATGACCATACAGCTTGCCATACGGCATACATGACTATACAGCCATGACCATACTGCATACATGGACCATACAGCATTTCCATTACAGCATGACCATACAGCATTACCAACTGCCATACATGATCCTATACAGCCTGGACCATACTGCATACATGGACTATACAGATTACCATACAGCATGACCATACTGCATACATGACTATACAGCATTAACCTTACTCAGCATGGGACCCATTACTGCATACCATGACTATACAGTATACCATACAGCATGACATACAGCATGACACATACTGCATGAACCTATGCAGCATGAACATACTGGCATACATGGACTATACAGCATTACCATAACAGCATGACCTACTGCATAACATGACAATACAGCATGACCATACTGCCATAATGACTATCAGCCATACCATAAAGATGACCATACAGCATGACTCCTATGCATGACCATACAGCATGACCATATTACTGCATAATGAACTATACAGCATTACCATACAGCATGACCATACTGCATGACATAACAGCATGACCATACTGCATGACATACAGCTGACCATACAGCATGATCTTACAGCTGACCATACTGCTGACCATACAGCATGACCATACAGGCATGATCATAAGCATGACCATACGCATGACGATACAGCATGTTCATTACAGCATGGACCATACTGCATGACCATACAGATGAACATACAGCACTGACCATACTGCATGACCATACAGCATGACCATACAGCATGACCATACAGCATGACCATACTGCATGACCATACAGCATGACCATACAGCAAGACCATACAGCATGACAATACAGCAATGACCATACAGCTTGACCATACAGCATGACATTCAGCATGACCATACTGCATGATCATACAGCATTACCATACAGCATGACCTACAGCAGAGCCATACAAGCAATGTCATACAGCATGACCATACAGCATGACCATACAGCATGACCATTACCGCAGGGACCATACTGCATGACGACTTACAGCTGGTCATACAGCATGACCATAAGCATGACCATACAGCATGACATACAGCTTGACCATATTGCATGACCATACAGCATGACACATAGTCATCGACCATACAGCATGACCATACAGCATGGACCTACAGCATGGACCATACAGCATGACGATACAGCATGACCATACTGAGGACCATACCAGCATGACCATACTGCATGACCATACAGCATTGACCAACAGCAAGACCATACAGAAGCTGACACAGATTAGTTGTTACCAGGAATCCACAGATTAAATATACAGTAGTAACAAGAAATACAAGGAAAACAAATCTATTGTTTACAGACAAGTGAAGCAAGTTACTACTTTAGAAGCCGACGAGGTGATAACTGAGACTACAGACAAGTGAAGCAAGTAGTTACTGCTTTAGAAGCCGACGAGGTGATAACTGAGACTACAGACAAGTGAAGCAAGTTACTGCTTTAGAAGCCGACGAGGTGATAACTGAGACTACAGACAAGTGAAGCAAGTTACTGCTTTAGAAGCCGACGAGGTGATAACTAGACTAAAGACAAGTGAAGCATGGTTACTGCTTTAGAAGCCGACAGGTGATAACTGAGACTACAGACAAGTGAAGCAAGTTACTGCTTTAGAAGCCGACGAGGTGATAACTGAGACTACAGACAAGTGAAGCAAGTTACTGCTTTAGAAGCCGACGAGGTGATAACTGAGACTACAGACAAGTGATAGCTCATAGCTTACCTACGTTTAGAAGCCGACGAGGTGATAACTGAGACTACAGACAGTGAAGCAAGTTACTACTTTAGAAGCCGACGAGGTGATAACTGAGACTACAGACCAGTGAAGCAAGTTACTGCTTTAGAAGCCGACGAGGTGATAACTGAGACATTTGTGTAATATTTAGTAATCATTATTCCAGAATAAACTTTCCCAAGTGTTGCATAAATGTCTCATTTAAATGGTTAATGAGTAAAATAACGGGGGGATGGAAAAACAAAGCACAAGGACGGTAAAAAATTAAGTAGAAGGGCAGAAGAATTACACTGTGTAAGAAGGTGAATATAAAAACTTAAAAAAAAATACGTAGCAAGAAATGGTATTATATGTTTAAGAAGGAATAAAGTGTGGAATATAAGCAGTGATGGAGGAGCTGACGACACGTTGACACAGGCAGGGGTTGTAAGTTCCAGGCAGGGGTTTTGTAAGTTCCAGCAGGGTTGTTTGTGAAGTTTCCAGACGGGGTTGTAAGTTCAGACGGGGTTTAGTAAGTTCCAGACGGGGGGTGTTAATATTCCAGGCGGGGTTGTAAGTTCAGACGGCGGTTGTAAGTTCAGACGGGGTTGTATGTTCCAGACGGGGTTGTAAGGTTCCAGACTGGGTTGTAATTTCCAGGCGGGGTTGTAAGTTCCAGAACGGGGTTGTAAGTTCCAGACGGTGGTTGTAAGTTCCAGACGGGGGTTGTAAGTTCCAGACTGGGTTGTGTAAGTTCCAGACGGGGTTGTTAAAGTTCCAGGCGCGGGTTGTAAGTTCCAGACCGGGTTGTAAGTTCAGCGGGGTTGTAAGATACCAGCGGGGTTGTAAGTTCCAGGGCGGGGTCTTGTAAGTTCAGACGGGGTTGTAAGTTCCAAGACGGGGTATGTAAGTTCCAGACGGAGGTTGTAAGTGTACCAGACGGGGTTGATCAAGTTCCAGACGGGCGTTGTAAGTTCCAGACGAGGTTGTAAGTTCAGACGGGGTTGTAACGTTCCAGACGGGGTTGCTAAAGTTCCAGGCGGGGTTGGAGTTCCAGAAGGGGTGCGTTAAGTTCCAGGCGGGGTTGTAAGTTCAGGTGGGGGTGTAAGTTCCAGACGGGGGTTGTAAGTCCAGACGGGGTTGTAAGTTCAGACGGGGTGTTGTAAGTTCCAGGCGGGGGTTGTAAGTTCCAGGGGGGGGTGTAAGTTCCAGACGGGGGTTGTAAGTTCCAGACGAGGTTGATAAGATCCAGACGGGGTTGTAAGTTCCAGGACGGCGGTTGTAAGTTCCCGACGGGGTTTTGTAAGTTCCAGGCGGGGTTGTAAGTCCTGGACGGGGTTGTAAGTTCCAGACAAGGTTGTAAGTTCCAGGACGAGGTTGTTAAGTTCCAGACGGGGTTGTAAGTTCCAGACGGGGTTGTAAGTGCCAGACGGGGTTGTAAGTTCCAGGACGGGGTTGTAAGTTCCAGACGGGGTTGTAAGTTCCAGACGGGGTTGTAAGTTCCAGACGGGGTTGTAAGTTCCAGACGGGGTTGTAAGTTCCAGACGGGGTTGTAAGTTCCAGACGGGGTTGTAAGTTCCAGACGGGGTTGTAAGTTCCAGACGGGGTTGTAAGTTCCAGACGGGGTTGGAACTTCCAGACGGGGTTGGAACTTCCGACGGGGTTGGATACTCAGACGGGGTTTGGAAACTTACGACGGGGTTGGAACGCCCTCCAGACGGGGTTGGAACTTCCAGGCAGGGTTGGAACTTCCAGGCGGGGATGAAAGTTCCAGACGGAGTTGTAAGTTCCAGACGTGGTTGTAAGTTCCAGGCAGGGTTGGAACTTCCAGGCGGGGATGAAAGTTCCAGGCAGGGTTGGAAGTTCCAGAGGGGGTTGTAAGTTCCAGGCAGGGTTGGAATTCCAGGCGGGGATGAAAGTTTCCTGGCAGGGTGGAAGTTTCCAGGCGGGATATGAAAGTTCCAGGCAGGGTTGGAACTTCCAGGCGGGGATGAAAGTTCCAGGCAGGGTTGGATGTTCCAGACGGGGTTGCAAGTTCTAGGCAGGGTTGGAACTTCCAGGCGTGGTTGTAAGTTCCAGACAGGTTGGAAGTTCCAGACGGGGTTGTAAGTTCCAGGCGGTGGTTGTAAGTTCCAGGCGGGGTTGTAAGGTCCAGGCGGGGTTGTAAGTTCCAGGCGGGGTTGTGTAAGTTCAGGACGGGGTGTAAGTTCCAGACGGGGTTGTAAGTTCCAGACGGGGTTGTAAAGTTTCCAGGACGGGGTTGTAAGTTCCAGACAGGGTGTAAGTTCCAGGTGGGGTTTGTAAGTTCCAGACGGGGTTGTAAGTTCCAGACGGGGGTTGTAAGTTCCAGGTGGGGTTGTAAGTTCAGGTGGGGTTGTAAAGTTCCAGACGGGGTTTGTAAGTTCCAGGTGGGGTTGTATGTTCCAGACGGGGTTGTAAAGTTTCCAGACGGGGTTGTAGTTCTCAGGCGGGGTTGTAAAGTTCAGACGGGTGTTGTATAAGTTCCAGGCCGGCGGTTGTAAGTTCCCAGACCGGGTTGTATAGTTCCGACGGGGTTGTAAGTTCCCAGAGGGGTTGTAAGTTCCAGACGGGGTTGTAAGTTCCAGACGGGGTTGTAAGTTCCAGACGGGGTTGTAAGTTCCAGACGGAGTTGTAAGTTCCAGGTGGGGTTGTAAGTTCCAGGTGGGGTTGCAAGTTCCAGACGGGGTTGCAAGTTCCAGACGGGGTTGTAAGTTCCAGGTGGGGTTGTAAGTTCCAGGTGGGGTTGTAAGTTCCAGGTGGGGTTGTAAGTTCCAGGACGGGGTTTGTAAGTTAAGGTGGGGTTGTATGTTCCAGACGGGCTTGTAAGTTCCTAGGACGGTGCGTTTGATGTTCCAGGCACGGGTTGTAAGTTCCTGACCGGGTTTGTAAGTTCCAGAAGGGGTTGTAAGTTCCCCCAGGACGGGGTTGTAAGTTCCAGGCGGGGTTGTAAGTTCCAGGTGGGGTTGTAAGTTCCAGACGGGGTTGGTTGGTAGTTTCCAGACGGGGTTGTAAGTTCCTGACGGGGGTTGTAAGTTCCAGTCGGGTTGCAAGTTCCAGACAGGAGGTTGTAAGTTCCAGGGCGGGGTTGTGTAAAGTTTCTAGGCGGGGTTGTAAGTTCCAGACGGGGGTTGTAAGTTCAAGGCGTGTGAGTTGTAAGTTCAGACGGGGTTGTAAGTTCCAGGCTGGGTTTAAGTTCCAGCGGGTTGTAAGTTACCAGACGAGGTTGTTGTAAGTTCCAGACGGGTTGTAAGTTCGACGGGGTTGTAAGTGTCCAGGCGGGGTTGTAAGTTCCAGGACGGGGTTTGTAAGTTCAGGCCGGGTCGGGTTGTAAGTCCGGTGTGGTTGTAAGTTCCAGACGGGGTTGTAAGTTCCAGGCGGGGTTGTAAGTTCCAGACGGGGTTGTAAGTTCCAGGCGGGGTTGTAAGTTCCAGGCGGGGTTGTAAGTTCCAGACGGGGTTGTAAGTTCCAGACGGGGTTGTAAGCTCCAGACGGGGTTGGGTAAGTTCCAGGCGGGGTTGTAAAGTTTCCAGACGGGTTGTAAAGTACTGTGACTGGGGGTTGTAAGTTCCAGACGGGGTGTAAGTTCCAGGGGTAGTAAGTTCCAGGTTGGGGTTGTTAAGTTCCAGACGGGGTTGTAAGTTCGAGACGGGGTTGTAAGTTCGAGTACGGGGTTGTAAGTTCCCAGACGGGGTTGTAAGTTCCAGACGGGGGTTGTAAGTTCCCAGGACGGGGTTGAAGTTCAAGACGGGGTTGGAAACTTCCAGACGGGGTTGGAACTTCCAGATGGGGTTGGAACTTCCAGACGGGGTTGGAACTTCCAGACGGGGTTGGAACTTCCAGACGGGGTTGGAACTTCCAGACGGGGTTGGAACTTCCAGGCAGGGTTGGAACTTCCAGGCGGGGATGAAAGTTCCAGACGGAGTTGTAAGTTCCAGACGTGGGTTGTAAGTTCCAGGCAGGGTTGGAACTTCCAGGCGGGGATGAAAGTTCCAGGCAGGGTTGGAAGTTCCAGAGGGGGTTGTAAGTTCCAGGCAGGGTTGGAACTTCCAGGCGGGGATGAAAGTTCCAGGCAGGGTTGGGCGAAGTTCGACGGAAGGTTGCATAGTTCTAGGCACGGGTTGGAAACTTCTGGCGGGGGGATGGAACGTTCCAGGCAGGGTTGGAACTTCCAGGCGGGGGGATGAAAGTTCCATGGCAGGGTTGGGATGTTCCAGGACGGGGTTGCAAGTTCTAGGACAGGCGTTGGTGCGAACTTCCAGGGGGGATGAAAGTTCCAGGCTGGGTTGGAAGTTCCAGACGGGGTTGGTTTTGTATGTTCCAGGCAGGGTTGGAACTTCAGGAGGGGATGAAGTTCCAGGAGGGTTGGACTTCCAGGCGGGGATGAAGTTCCATGCAGGGTTGGAAGTTCCAGACGGGGTTGCAAGTTTAGGCAGGGTTGGAACTTCCAGGCGCGGGATGAAAGTTCCAGACGGGTTTGTAAGTTCCGAGAGTGAGGGTTGGAACATGTCCGGCGGGGTGGAAGTTCAGGCAGGGTTGGAAGTTCAGATAGGGTTTGTGAAAGTTCCATTCCTGGTTGGAAGTTCAGGGTGGGGCTTGAAAGTTCCAGGCGGGGTTGGAGGTTCCAGCGCAGGGTTGGAAAAGTTCCAGCAGGGTTGAAAGTTCCAGACAGGGTTTGAAAGTTCCAGGCAGGGTTGAAGTTCAGGCAGGGTTGAAAGTTCCAGGAGGGTTGGAAGTTTTCAGGCGGGGTCCTGAAAGTTCCAGGCGGAGTTGGAAGTTTCACGGCGGGGCTGAAAGTTCCAGGCGGGGTTGGAAGTTTCAGGTGGGGCTGAAAGTTCCAGGCGGAGGTTGGAAGTTCTGACGGGGTTGAAGTTCCTGCAGGGTTGAGTGACAGTTTCCAGGCAGGGTTGAAAGTTTCCCAGGCGGGGTTGAAATTTCCAGGCAGGGTTGGAAGTTCCAGGTGGGTGTTGGGAAGTTCCAGGGCAGGGTTGTAAAAGTTCCAGGCGGGGTTGGAAGGTCCAGGCATGGGTTGGATAGTTCAGGCAGGGTTGGAAGTTCCAGGCGACAGGTTAAAAAATCTAAATCGGGGTTTAAAGTTCAGGCGTGGGTTGGAAGTTTCAGGC